TTCAATTATTTCAATTACATATCATAAAATATGATAATTAGACATGTATCAATGAGTGGAATTAAGTCATGTAAGATATTCATCCTTCAATTACCAATATTGTCAATTCCACACAAGTTGACTTCCTACAGTCTGAATATGGATCCAATAATGGTTATTTCAATTATATATGATTATGTTTGATATTTACTACAATATTAACAAGTTTAATAAATTGGTATAGTGTTTCCATAGTACGGCTCAATATCTTGGTCAATTAAGGTAGAATGAGTACAGTTTACTAAGGATATTATATGTTATACTTCCAACACTTCTACAATGTGAATATCATCATTATACATCATATATATGAGATTGGTGATGATTCTAATAACATTCATATTATAGTACAATAAATGTTGAAAAGTTAATTTTTAGACAAGTTGTAATTTATTACATACACCGATGCAACTTGATTAATTCATAATATCATCTATTCATCTATATATCTACAATATGTTAAAATTTACATTCCAACCCAACTTTGAAATTTTAGACCTACTAGGGTAAATACCTTAATATTTTAGGCAATGCCTTATAACTTTTTGGCCTTCAACTATGTTTTAATTTTTTCACCGGATTTAGTCAACTCATATATTGATCTATTGATTATGTGTAGATGGTATTTCAGATATTCCTAGTTATTGAGATATGCGAAGAAAACCTAACTTTTTTTTCATCGAGTACCTATTATCTCTAGAACCACTTTGAGTTTTTATTAGCATATAACAGTTTGTCGATGAAATTGTACCCTGATTAACATATATAAGATCCAAGTTTTAAATATTGGCCATTAATAAAATGGTAATGGGTTTTCGCCATACCCAAACCCAAACCCCAAAACTGTCAATGTAGTATTGTTCGGAATGGTCAATAGTAGGTAGGAGAACTTTCTCTTATCAATTTTGGTCAAGTTATGATAGGGATAGGTATGCTACCAGAGTTGATTCATAGCCCAATTACAAATCAAACAACAATAAAACAACAATTCATAATGTTTATTATGTTATTAAATGTATAATTTCAAGTCTTGTAGCATAATTTGTGAAAATCATGGATATCTGATATTTTCATGTTTTTATTGTTTTTCTCATGATGTGGATATTGACTTCTCACTGAAACATCACGAATAGCATGTCATTCATCCATTCTCTACCAGATAATTATCTTTTACTGTAATTCACTATTGGATATATTACTTTTAATATTTGTGATACTTTACTATTATATTCAATGAATAAGGGATGAGAAACATTCATTAGAAGAAGATAGATTCCCAGTAAAATATTCTCTCTCTGTACAATTTATTATTTCAATATCTGTCAAGTTAATTGAGATAGAAGGTTTTTCATCAGCTCATATCAAAATAGCTGGAGTTGAACTATCTTGAAAAAGAAGTCTGTAAATTCCAGGAAAGAATTTGGAACAAAAATCTATCCTAGAAAATCCAGAGAAAAATCTTTACGGTACAAAAAATTGATTCGATTTCATCACATGATGAATATACCTATTATTTAACCGCTGCTGTACTGGTTATCGGTTTCAGACGAACCTTACTGTAGTGCATTGGATGGCGTGGAAATATAATCATAAATTAATTTTCATAAAAGGCAGTTGGATTCTGGTTTTAACTAATTAGTTTCCAGTTTCGATTAACTTTACATATGTGGTTTGGCCTTTTTTTGATTTTGACAATATACTTTGTCATACACTTCCCTAATTAATTCTAAAAATTGTTGTAATCATCCAAAATCTAATAAAAAAAAATGAAAACAACACTTTCTTCCGAAGTTGTGTTTAAGATTGCAAGGTTTATTGGTGCAAAACATCTCCTACCATGGTACATCACTTGCAAGACAAACAAACAACATTTGGATACAGTTATACAATACAAAATGGAACGTTATATCAAACTTTGTACCAACAAGGAAGAAAAGTTAGCAGTGTTCAAATTTTTAGATTGTTTTCAGGTAACAAAAGAAAATTTCGAAGAAAGTAAAATGGTTTTAGATAAA